CCAGTTCCCTTTAATCACAAGTCACCTTTGGAGTCGGATGTGCTTCCAAGCGGCCACAAAGTTGAAGCACATTCAAAGATTATAATCCCTATCTATGCACTGGGGAGAATGAGATCTGTATGGGGAGAAGACGCATCAGAGTTCAAACCAGAGAGGTGGTTTTCAGACGAAGGAGGGCTAAGACATGAACCTTCATAGAAGTTCCTAACATTTAATTCTGGCCCAAGGACTTGTTTGGGTAAGCATTTGTCTCTCTTGTAAATGAAGATAGTAGCTTTGGACATCATAAGAAACTACGAATTTAAGATCGTTGAAGGTCAAAAGATCGAACCAGTTCCCTCTGTTATTCTCAGCATGAAGCATGGTCTTAAAGTGATGGTCAGTAAGAAAGTATGATTCTTATCATCCCTTGGCTTCTATGGTAAGTTGGTAACTATTACTACTCCCTTATTAATAAGTGATGCAGAGCATCCAAGTGTTGCTTCACTTGGTTTTGGATTTGCCTATAATAATTTATTGTATTGAGATACCTCTCCAACTAAGATTATGGTTTCTCTATAAAAACGTGGTTCATGGTGTTGTAAGAGCTCACAACTTTTATGGAATAATAAGAACTAGAAGTTGTAATGTATTAAGTAAGCATTATGGTCTCAATACCATTTGGGAAGCAACTAGTTCTTAATCCCGAAAAAAGAAAACCAGACTCTACAATTCAAAGATTGTAAGGACTCTATCAAAACACAAGTAACAACGTAAACCCCTATGGAGATAGAGAGAAATAGAGAGAACCGTAAAGAGCCTTTTCACTTAAAGCATTTGGCGTCCAAGAGAGCCTCACCTTCAAATGGCTCAGCGTCTTCAATCATCTGGCTAACACGTTCTTTCTGGGCTTCATCAGAGATATCAACCTTAGTCCACTCGTACAGCTCCATGTCGTACACCTCATCCATTATGAACTTGGGGATCTCTGGTCCACGGAAGAGCCATAAACCCTTCACTTTGAATGGACCCTCTGACCCGCAAATCAGCATCTTACCAAAGGCATATTTGCGTGCCAAGTCCATACGCTGAAGGAACCCGCCTACCTTGTTGAGAGTGACAAAGGACACCATGTTCTCATCATTGTACTTGTAGTCACAGAACCATAGTGAGTACCCCTCTGGGTCATACATGTCCCAGAATCCTGCATTAAATACAAACATTGAAGACATTGAGATTTTAAAAGAATGTACTTTCTGGCTCAACGCTAAGCTATAAGTTAGTAAAGCTACTGTGGGCTGATATGGGAGTTAGTGAGGATTTCACAGCAGAATTATGGAATTATAGATTGGAAAAAGAAAAGAATTTTAGTAGATTTGTTCTTAACAAATTGATTCCATAAGCTAAAAACATTTCTTAAATCTCGTTAAGCAAGACTTCAAAAAAAACACAAAGAACAGTCAAACATATAACATACCTTTAATAGCAACCTCACGGAAGTTGGATTTGGTGTTAGAGTAAAGCCTCTTCCAGTCATCAAGAACCATTGGGCTTGGGGGTAGCAAATCAAGAGGATTCTTGGCTTTGGGCTTTGGTGCTTCTTCCTCCTCAGCAGCCTTTTGTGCCTCTGCTGCAGGGGCAGCCTTCTTAGGCTCCTCCTTGGGCTTTGCAGCCTGTGCAGGTTTCTTAGATGGAACTGGAGGGACAGCTTCAGTCTGTTTGGCATCACCCAACACCTTCTTGAAGTTTGGCTGGTTTACCATTGTCCAGAAGTATCTCTCAACATGAGGGAATGCAGAGGTAAATTTCTTGGTCATCACGGTAGCAAATCCCAAGTTCAAGTTGCAGATGGTCACAATATCAGCAAGGGTAACAGAGTGTCCAACAAGGTAAGTGTTGGAGGCGAGATGTGTGTTCAGCGCCTCAAGTCCCCTCTTCAATGCAGAAATTGCTGCTTCCTCAGCCTTCATTCATAAAGACCAATATAAAGATGAGTAACACTAGTCTACTATTAGTCCAAGAGTGCAAGGGGAAGCATGATTTCTAGCACAGAGAGTATATGAGACAAAATAAAAATTAGGAGAAGCTTACTGGAGCAGAGAAAGGAGCATATCCCGCTCTTGGAGCAAACCACTTCAACATGTGAGAATCAATCTCCAACGTGGAGAAATCAATCCATTGCTCAATTTGAGCCTGAAAGGGTCAACCGATGCACATAGTCATTAGCAAAAAGGTGTAAGAAATAATATAAGTAAAGCCTAGAGAAAATAAGAGCTTGAGCTTACATATTCAATGAGGGAGGATCCATTCAAAGAGTTGTCACCATTCTTACGGCTCACTGTATTGGGACATCAAAATAGTCATTATCTTGAATACTCTCACGCAATGAATCATGTGAAACAGAGGGAGAAAAAAAGAAGGAAATGAAATCATACCATATCGGGCAATGGCATTGCTCTCAAATATAGGACCTTCAGGAGTCTCAAGCACAGGAACCTAGTAAAGAACATAACCTTTTATTAGCCAAGAAATTACAGCAAACATCAATCAAACCAGTCACAGAAACCTTATCAGAAGAGATTTCACACCTTTCCAATAGGGTTCATCTTAAGAAACTCAGGGGATTTGTTAGTGACGCCCATCTGAAAATCTGCAGATTCCTCAATCTTCACACCCGCATACTCACCAGCAATGAGTGCCTTGAAGGCACCTTTGTTTCCCTTGTATGTGTGCAAGACCTAAAAATTCCCAAAAAACTCACCAAAATCAAACTTAACTGAAATTGCATAGTCACAAAATCCAATTCTCGCGATACTTCAACATGAATCGGATCTCAAAATTAGACCAATACACATGATCATCAAACTGATATATATCGATAACTAAACCTAAATCAATCTAAACTCAAAACTATATTCCCAGAATCGTTACGGCACTAATCAAACGTATAATGAGCTCAGAAGCGATGAAATCTCGAGTAAGAGAACTTACCAAAGCCATTGCTCAAACGCAGAAGATATGAACTCGGAGATCGTCTGAGTTCAGATCTAGTATCAAAAGAAAACACAAAGTAAAAGTTAGTGAGTCGTCGTTCAGATTGAGAGAAGTAGATAAAGGAGAAGAAGGTGAGAGATCGAGACTTACGAGAGAGAAGCTTCTGTAAACTTTTCCGAGAGAGAGCAAAGCGAGAGCGAGAGAGAAGACACAAATGCGGCGGCGAGGGTACTATAAAAGAGAGTATTAGGGCTCTAGATAATATTTTTGGTTATGGTTCGGTTTAGCTTTTTGTTTTGGTTATCAAAGTGTGGTTTGCTTTGTTTTTTATTTGGTTAACACTAATTCTCTAATTAAAATGTCCATATTTAACTAATGCTTTTGAAATTGGTAAACGTCCCAAAATAAATAGCTTTTTCAAAAATATTTCTTTCTACAAATTGGTGAGGTATGTTTTTAATAATCTTCCTAATTTGGTATCTATCTATATATATAAAGTTAACTTTTTCTCTATTCTGATGATGCCACATAAGCATCCACCTAAACCACACTTTTTTTACATTAAAATAAATTTAAAACAATTATTTAGTGCATATTTATGATACTTATTTAATTAATAGAATATTTATATAAATAAAAATAAATTATGTAAATAAATGAAATGTCAAATAAGAAATACTTTCATTTTTTTATTAGTTAGTGGTAACAATATAATTCAACTTTCATTTTAAATCGATCATAGTTTAAAATTTTAAATGTGTTACTGAGTTTAAGAATATAAGTAAATTTTAAATTTATGGTAGAATAAAAACAAAATTTATGTAGTTGTATATATAAAATTTTAAAGGGTAAAATAAAATTGAAAGTGAAATATTAGTTTATAACATGATCAAAAAGAAAATGCTTTTAATCCAAATTTAAATACTGAAAGATAATAATTCAAGAGAAAATAAATATAATATGTTTTGAAAATCAATTAAAAATAAATAAAATATCACAATATAAATAAAAAAATTAACAAAAAAATTATAAACCTCCCGCGCGCAGCGCGGGTCAACTGCTAGTTATGTATAATTTCAGTTTTTTTCCCCAACATCTTAGCATTTTAATTTTATTTTTCCATTTTTTGCATTTAAAATGTCTCTTTATATGAAATTTTAATTAGTGACATTTTTTCGATAATTTTCCTTTTTTGTTTTGTTTTGTGGATGAATACTAAAATATATTTGTGATAAAGAATGAATATTTCTTATTGCGTTCCAAAAATTAATATTCAAAATATATTTTTTTTGTGTTTCTTGCGAGGCTTCAAAAATACTTTATATCTTATCATCCAAAAGTTAAATTAGTTTTTTATATATAAATTTGTTCGAGTAAATTTGGTGATATATAATTGGTGTGACATTTAAGTAAATTTATAAGATTAGCAACTGATAAAAGAATATGAAAATTTTAATAATTTTTGTTTATAATGAACTAAAAATTTACATAAGTAATGACGAGTTGATCTAGTGGTTAACCTCCTAAAATGTAAGAATCATGAAGGTCATGAGTTCAATCCGCATTTAGAAGGTTTAGCTCTTCAAAGAAAATCAAAGTTAAATTAAATAGTTTGGACATCTTTGTACCTTTTAATCATTAAAAAATAAGTAAGTAATTTAACGTAATTTTTTTTTCTTTATAATTATATCAAAATTCATGTACATCGATTTTTTTTTAAATGTGAGTTTTCTTTATTTGTCTCTTCAACTAAATATATTAAATAAATGTAGGATTTTGACACACCAACTCCAAGTATGGTTTTTAATTAAATTTGATGAGTTTTGTAATCCTTCTTGTTCTTGCAATTTGTGAAAATGATATAAATAATATCTCTTAGTTAAGTAGCTTCCAAAACGATTATTAAAAGGCATTATTGGTTGGTCCACTAAACCATATTATTGTTCTTTTGTCATACATACAAAGATATTTTATATATTGAGTTCAATTTCTTCTACGAAGTTTACAAAATTGGTGACCTTCCACAAGTCTTTGCGTATCATTTGTTCACAACTTAAACCTTTTGGGTCAACAGTACCAACAACTTTGAAAGCATTATCCTCCTCTTCTTCTTCTTCTGCTCTGCGTGTACTTCGGTTTGATCAAGAAACCAAACTAAAGATATATGGAGGTTCCAATTTGGCAGTGGTGTTTGATCATCTTAGCGATCATATTCTTGGCATTTGCTTCACATTTTTTGGGAAGAATCTTGTGTAGCCCTCGAGAGAAAATTGTAGATAGTAAAGTCGGAAAAAAACATGGACCGGCCGCAGCAGAAAAGACTTCGAAAGGTGGCTCCGAGCAACTTGTGTGATGATCTCAAAGAGTATGCATCAAGTTTGGATGGTAAATTGTAAGTTTCGATGCTATTTTTATACTCTTGTTGTAAAATAATACCAAGTTTGGATGGTAATTAATTTGTAAATTCCACAAAAATCAAGCAATGGAGAGACCACAAGATAAGACTTATACAATTAGTAAGTTCCTAATTATTATTTTTCATTATTCATCATCAAGACTGATAGAACAAAACACAATTCGGGTTAAATACATTACATGAGTAGTAAACATAGACACATAGTATCGAAATTAAACTTAGATTGTACTGTCAAGCTTGGTGATGTAAATCAAATGAACTGGAGCTGTTAACCGTAACTGAGTTTAGGTTTGGTTCAATGTTCATGTTATGGTTAACCATATATAGGTCCATAACCATAAGGTCCATAACCATAACTTTAACGTTGAAGTGTTTCATTAGTTGTTGTAATAGAGCATATGCTATATAAAGATAGAGGTAAGATAGATCTTGTGTTATAAATATATATATATATATATATATATATATTCGTTTGTAGCTTCTTCTTCTTTAATTTTCCATTTAGTTCTTGGATCCTTGGTTCATGCTATGTTCTTCTTTCTTCTTTTGCGGTAGTTCTTGAGAGATTCATGCAGCTTATAAAAGAAAGAATACACCAAGAAAAGGTTTTGTGTTTTCTGGTCTAATAAAGAGTATAGAAATCAATTGGGTAGCCAAGAAAAAAAATGTTTGTTGGAGAATATAGGAATGAAGGCTGCTTATCTTATTCATATGAGTATTACAACATATATATAGACTGTACAAAGAGGGATTTAGGTTAATTACAATGACCCTTAAGACCTTTCCATATACATCACCTACATGCCCCCTCAAGATGGAGGGACTTTTGTAACTCCAATCTTGGAAATGACCTCTTGAAACCTTGGTTTAGACAACGGCTTTGTTAGCGGATCAGCTAGCTGATCATGAGTAGACACATGACTAACTCGCAAAGTTCCTGCTTGTACATTATCGCGAATGAAATGATAATCGAGGGCTAGATGTTTCATCCGAGAATGAAAGATAGGATTGGCCGCAAGATGTGTAGCTCCTATATTATCACAATAGATCACTGGTACCTTTGGAATAACCACTCCGAGTTCGGTAAGGAGCGATGATATCCATCGGATTTCAGAAGCAGTATTGGCCACCGCTCTATACTCTGCCTCCGTGGAGGACCGTGCAACTCCCGACTGCTTCTTAGATGACCAAGAGATAGGACTACCGCCAAGGTAGATAACATAGGCATTAGTGGAGACGTATGTATCCGGATCACCGGCCCAGTCTGCATCCGAGTACGCATCGAGAGTGAAACCATGAAGAGACATTGGTGTATTAGCGCGAAGTAAGATGCCATGGGACGGAGTACCCACCAAATAGCGTAAAATACGTTTAACTGCACACCAATGAACATCAGTTGGCTGATGCATAAACTGCGACAACCTATTGACAGCGAATGCAATGTCAGGACGAGTAAAAGATAAGTACTGTAAGCTGCCAAGGACAGCTCGATACTCCCGGGGATCGTCTAACTTTGCACCACTAGTTAAAGACAGTTTCGGAGATGTTGACATCGGTGTGGAAACAGGTTTGGCAGCAAGCATCCTCGTTTTGGTGAGTAAATCAACAATGTACTTCTTTTGCATAAGATGGAGACCCGCCTTCGTCCGAGTTGAGAGCAACTCTCCTAGATTCTTGAGAGCAAAACGCAGCTCCAGCAGTTGGTCTTCAACTCTCCTAGATTCTTGAGAGCAAAACGAGAAGCAATAGTGTTGATAACAGCAGCAATAAGAGCAGGTGTGCTGCCAGTAATCAACATATCATCAACATAGACTAAGATGTAGAGAATATGTTGACCATTTCGCTTGATAAAAAGAGATGTGTCTGCAACAGAGTTAACAAAACCAAGAGAGAGGAGATGAGCTCGTAACTCTTGATACCAAGCGCGTGGTGCCTGTTTCAATCCATAAAGCGCCTTTTTAAGTCTGCAAACATACTGTGGACGTTCCGGATCAACGAACCCGGGAGGTTGTGTGACGTACACTTCTTCTTGAAGGCGACCTTGAAGGAAGGCATTGTTGACGTCTATTTGACGGATATTCCACCCATTGTTGACTGCAACCTGAAGGACTGAGCGGACCGTTGTGGATTTAATCACAGGACTGAATGTGTCAGTGTAGTCACGACCCTGTTGTTGATGGAAGCCACGGGCAACGAGACGTGCTTTGTACCTATCAAGAGAGCCATCAGATTTAAACTTTAGTGTAAAAATCCATTTGCAACCAACAATATTTCGAGCCATTGTAGGTGGAACCAATTCATGTGTCCCATTTCGAATCTGTGCATTTATCTCCTCACTCATGGCTGCTCGCCACTTCGGATCCCTTAACGCCTCAGCCACCGTTTTTGGAATAGTAGGTTTGGGAATTGTTGTAAAATGGGCAAATTTTGGATTGGGTTTTACGATTTGGTTTTTCGAACGGGTTGTCATGGAGTGTTGATTTTGTGGTGGTTGAACTGGATTCGGGGGTGAGCCAATAGGAGGAGGTGATGGAGAAGGAGGGGGGAGAATATTTGGTTGTAAGGAAGAAGACGATGGTGATGTGTCAGTTGGGCTTGGTAACAGTGGGCTTTGTGCAGGAGTGAGTGGATTTGGGCCAGAAATAGGAGATGGGCTTTGAGGTTGGCTTACATTGTGGGTTATAGAGGCCTGGGTATCATTACGCGACGGGTATGGTGATGACTGAGACGTTGAGGAAGATGACACAAGAGGTGTGTGAGCGGACGAGTGTGACGGAGACACAGGTTCCGGCGAGACTACCGGTTGCACAGCTGGCGAGTCGTGGTGAAACGCAGTGGGGGAGTCCGATACTTGAGCTTGGACGAGTGACGGCACTGGAATTGCGATGGTCTGAGAAGAAGACGGCACATCCGGTTGAGACACAGATAACCGCGACTGCGAAGCAAATGGGAAGGCATCTTCGACGAATTGGACATGGCGAGAGACATAGATACGACCCAAACTCGGTTCCAAGCACAAGTAGGCACTCTGAGTAAGAGAGTAGCCTAAAAACACACACGAAGCAGAGCGATCTTGAAGCTTATTGGTGTTGTAGGGACGAAGCCAAGGGTAACATAAGCATCCAAAGACCCTCAATTTCATGTAGTTTGGTTTTTCTCCAAACAAACGCTGATAGGGAGAAACATTGTCAAGCACCGGTGTGATTAAACGGTTAATGAGATATACGGCTGTTGCAAAGGCATAGCTCCAGTACTCTTTGGGCATAGAAGCATGGCTGAGGAGCGACAAACCCGTTTCGACAATATGACGATGCTTCCTTTTTGACAAGCCATTATGCTCAGGAGTGTGCGGTGGTGTGGTGAGGTGAGTGATCCCACGAGAAGCTAAGAAGGAGCGAAGCGCTATAAACTCCCCGCCATTGTCAGAATAGAAGGTACCTATTCTTTGCTTGAATCGATTCTCAACGAGAGCAGTGAATAGAGTGAAGATCTCCTTCACTTGCGATTTCTGTTTCATAGGATATAGCCACGTATAACGCGTGTAATGATCAACCAATACCAAATAGTACTTGAAACCATCGATTGAAAACAGAGGTGAAGTCCACACATCACTATAAATATAATGTAGCGGATGAGTAGAGACAATCGAATTGGTTTGAAATGGAAGCTTATGACTCTTATTGATGAAGCAATCAGAACACGACAAATGTTGTTGTAAAGACGATGAAACAGGTAATGAAAACTTGGAAACAAGTGCTTTTAAGAGAGGGAGAGCCGGGTGACCAAGTCGTGAATGCCATGACGTAAGAGAGGTTTTAGATGTCGGAGACGTGAAGAACAGCTTTGGCTTCGCAATGTTAACCGGCCACTCGTACAACTCATTTTTAGTCCTGCCTTGGAGTAAGTGGACCCCCGTTCTGAGATCCTTCACCTGGAAGTGAGCGGGAAAGAATTCAACCGAGACCTTATTAGCGTTACACATTCGATAAACCGAGATTAAGTTCTTCTTAATATCAGGAACATAAAGAACATCTTTCAACGCAAGAGGACGAGAAGGAGTAGGGAGAAAAGTGTAACCAGTTTGGGCAATGCGGAGTGCAGAACCATCAGCAATTTGGATATCCTCACCGCCAGTGTACGGATGATGAAGAGCCAAGTTGTTGAGATCCGACGTCACATGATGCATAGCTCCACTATCCAACATCCAAGGTGCAGCATCATAGCCAGGTGCCATCACCATGTTGGCACGAGGTTGCCATGGGGGATACGCACGTTGTTGGTGATAGGCGCCAGAGTTGTTTTGTTGAGAAGCTGATAGCACGTACGGGCACTATGTCCATGAGTCCCACAGATTTGGCATTTGCCTTGGTACCCACGAGATTGCGACTGTCCAGGACGCGATGAATACTGCTGCTGTTGCCATGACTGATTCCCCTGGGAATTATTTTTGTTGCGATTCTGAGAGTTGCCTTTACCATTGGTATGATTATTACCACGGTAATTAACTGCATTAGCACTCGCAGGTAGCGAGGAGGAAGAGGCACCAGCAAGTGTTTGGAGCGTTACTTCATGGTTGAGCAGCTTCTCGTATACCTCAGGGAGACGTGGAGTTGTTTCACGGCCAGCAATCTGATCTTTGATTGGTTTGTATTCATCCGACAGACCAGCGAGGATAGCTTCGATTTGGTCATCTGGACGCATCTCACTTTCAAGTAAAGCCAGCTGATCAAAACGGACCGTAAGGCCATGAAAGTACTCTTCAATGGAGCGAGAGCCTTTCTTACACGACTGGATCTGCAGCTTGATCTGACGAACATGACCACGGCTGGGAGCAGCAAACGTTTCACGGAGTGTAGTCCAGATTTCATGCGCTGTGGTGGCTTTGGAGAGAAGCGGCTGGACAGTGAGTGCAATTGCACCAAGCAGAGAGCTGTACAGCAGACGATCCTGACGTTTCCAAAGCAAGTAATCAGGATTAGGAGCCACGACACCATTGGTAGCGACTGTAGGAGACGGAGCGACAACGGATCCGTCAAGATAGCCCATTAAATCATAACCATCAAGGAGAGCATAAACCTGGCGGCTCCACATGATGAAGTTGGAAGCAGTTAGCTTCGTGACATTGGACATATTAATACTAAGCAGTTGAGGAGTATTGACAATAGCAATAGTCTCACTGGTGTTTGACATTTTTGATAGTCAAAGGAAGAAGACGGCGAAAAAAAATTTTGGGGTTTTGTTTTTAGGTATGGATCGCTTGCTCTAATACCATATAGGAATGAAGGCTGCTTATCTTATTCATATGAGTATTACAACATATATATAGACTGTACAAAGAGGGATTTAGGTTAATTACAATGACCCTTAAGACCTTTCCATATACATCACCTACAGAGAAGACAATTATTGGGATGTGTCACAACTTTTGTCCGAGAGTTCGTTGACGAATAACATCACTTTCACTAGAGTAGTAGAGTCAATGATTGACGAATCTTGAAAGCTTGAGTTTCTCACCGAGAGGAATGTAAATAGAGCTTGGCCATGAAATAGGAAGAGGTGTAACAATATTTCCCAAGCAAAACTCTTGTAAGTATTACTAGTCTCCGACGTAGCTTTGCTACCAGAAGCATCATTGAAGCATTGAATGACACAAAAATCCTAGTCCTCCATTTCTTTTGCCATCTTCCTCTAACCAGGTCTGGAACCCCACAAAAATCTGGTCAATGCATGATTGGATGCGCTTGCATGCAAAGGGACATGAGGATTTTGAAACAGGACAATACATATGTCGGCATGGAGGACATAACACTCTTGAGCATTAATCAGCTTACACAAAGCTCAATAAAGTAATTTTAGAAGACCGGCCGATAGCTTTCTGACTTACCATGTTGACAGTTGAATAGAAGAGGTCGTTCTTTTTCCTACCAAAGTATTATGGTAGACCTAAATATTTACCAACTCCTCCTTCTTGATTTTAAGATCCAACAGTGTGTCTTGTTTGAGAAACTGATGGCTGGTTTTTTATTGTTAAAACACTGTCCCGAGAAACAGAGTATTTGAGTATCTCCTTGTCATCTTTTCATAACTTCAGCAGCATAATCATTCATATCCCAGACGATGTTTTTGTGAAAACTATATTTTGTAGTATCAAAAATATTTAAATCTCCCCACTAATAAACTTTGATCTATTTGTGTAGAAGTAAAAGTTAAACATTTGATCTATTTGTGTAAATGATTACTTTGTCTCTTTATTACAAAATATTATCAATCTGTGAATAGATTATACAAGCAGGACTGGATTTGTGCTAAGCAACGTTGGAGAACAAAGAAGGGTAGCTTCTCTATTCACAAGTTTGTCACGAAGTACACCAAACGTTGGAGGAATGTCACATCCATTGATTTTCTCAATTACAACCACGGTAGTCATTTATCAAGACCATCAAGGATGTATACAAGAATTACTTCATGATCAAGTGGTTTGCCAAACTAAGCCAATTGATATGACCAGTCTTTGTCCTCATGGATTGCATATACTCATCGATGGAGCTCTGGTCTTTGGTGTTCTTCTTCATTTGATCTATTATCTGCTTCATGTGACCACAAGAGGTAGAAGCAAAGGTAGTGTGCAAGGTTTGCCGAGCCTCCAATGTGAATAAAGCTTGTTGTGTTTATTCATTAATGTAGAAGTGTGTTGGATCCTATGATTTAAGGATTGACAAGATACTTAAGGATATCTGTTGTTTATTTTATTCTTTTTTTATTATTTTTGTCCACACAGCCGTGGTGCAGTGGTAAGGGATAATTGGAGAAAAGTTGGAAGGAACTAACCCAAGTTCGATCCACCCTGGAAACAAAAATTATTGTTGTGTGGAAAGTCTGCCAATTGGGCCAAGACCTAGTTGGTTTACCTAATATAGTCAGAAATGCAGCCGGCGTGACTACCCCTGACATTAGTCGGAAAGCATTCCAAACTCGGGATAGACAGTGTAGTGGTCCTTCGAAGAATAGTCCACTCTTAAACATTTCGGTGTATTTCTACCGGGGCTGACCGGATCAGCCGATAGAATTTATCAAAAAAAGAAAAAAAAATGCTTAAGGATATCTTATGTATATGAGTAGTATATTCTAACTACTTGATAAAAAGTCATACACCAAACGAAATATTAATATTATTATATTAACTTATGATTTCATATTACATTTTACTTAATCTTTCTGAAGGAAAAATTCGAGAATCACCAAGATAATGCTTGACAGATCTCCAATAACATTGCTCCTCTTGATGAAAAATTGTGGCATTGGCTTGATTGTTGACAAGTCATCAATACATTGATACATCCATGCTATGGTAGTACCTATTCTAGCGTTTATAGCATCATAGTTTTTAGCTTCCAAATCTTCAAGGGAAATTTTATTATTGTAAAGAGCATTACCATAATTTTCTACGCAATCTAGATATATGCTACGAGAATGGAAATTAGTCGTGTTTTCCACGAGCAATTTCAATTGTTTTAGTGCATATGTTATATTTTGAGATTGATAATTGATAAAAAATTTGGCAAGGCCAGAAAGATCTAATGCTGCGATCTTAGAGGTTGGTTTTAAAACCTCAAAACAAAGTGAGGAAAGAGTTTTTTCCTTGGTGCAGATGGAGTCGATCTCACTTTTTGTAATCATCATATTAAATCTTGCATATGATGATGATACAACAAGAAGTAAAACAACTATAGAAACCAAGAAATTATTATTTTTTACGGATGCAACCATTTTTTTCTGTTCGAGATGTTTAAGAACTTATGTGAGATTTATATAGGGTGAAACATATCTTAAATTTTAATAGATTACCTAACAAAATAAAATGGTATTCCATGTTTTACATTTTGGTAGTTTAGAAACGCTAGCCTTTGACCCAAGAAACTATATATCTTTATTAACATTTTTAAAGCAGTTTTTGAAATAAATCCTGGAGTTCTGACTTATTTACAATCCTATGTCATTGCATTAATTATTTATTTAGAAAATATCGAAACCAATAATTATCACATTTAACAATAAATACAAAATACCATTTTAGGATTTCCCAATTTCCTTCTTTTTTAAATACTTTTCCATTATCTTTATATGACCTCATTTATTTTTTAAATTTATTTTATTACCTATTAACATATGTGTAATGAAAAAAATGCGCATACGTTGCAATTTGAATTTTTTAAAAATTTTATGGTACTTTTGTGTAACTTAGGATTCAAAATATATATATACATAACTGTAATGGGTCGTCTATTACACAAACTATATGTTCATACGTTGTTGAATGAAATTAAAAAAAAAAAAAGAATTCTCATATTTTTTATAATTTATTATTATTTATTTCTTTAATATATAGTTTTACATCATTTTATTTATAACATCATATATATAAAACTGAATACGAAAACAATTACTAAATGTGGAGATTTATTAGATAACTAAAAGAATGGAGAATATATAAGTCAGGTAAACTGTTAGCAATTTGACTATACAACGCAAGATCCTAAGTCCTAAACCATACAAGTCTAACCAACCAAAAAAATAAAGGGCAAGCATTGTGAAGAACCATCATCAGATTTTCCCAAAATGTTTGTTTATTATTTGTACTACTTTCTCTAAGAAACTCCCACAATATCACCTTCCATTAGCTGGGCACGAGGCTTGAGCCTGTCTGTTATCGTCTCTCTTAGCCTTGTCGGCTTGAGCTCGTCGTACAGCCAACAAGATCTGTCTTTCGTGTTCTTTCAACATTTCATCCAAGTTTCCTTCTCCTGGAATCAATGGTCCTGAGTATTGAATCCTCCCTCTCTTCTCACCATCATAACCCTGTTTTCACCAAATTATGATTAGCCACAAAAATATACAGACACAGGAAACTAACAAGAACAATGTGTACCGTTATTGATTCTTTGCTAGAGGATGAGGGGTCATCTTTTGTAAAACCATTAGGTTTCTCAAGTAATCTTTGGGACAAATTGAAATTCTCTGAACCATCTTCAAGCCAGCGTTGATTCACCATAGCATCTCTCATACTACCAAACTGTGATCCATCTCTAGTATGTGCCATTGAGTTTGAGAATCTTGACAATTGGGCTGCCCCACGTTGGACATATGACCTTTGTGTTCTCAGTTGGCTTGATCCGTTAGGATGATTGTCTCCGTTTGAGTAGATTGGGTATGGATTTTGTGCAGTACTGCCCTTCAGTGGTTCGAACCGGAAGCCATTGCCAGAATCTCCCTCAGGAATGAACTTCTCACTCACGCTTGTCTGGTTAGTCTCTCCCAGACGTTTCTTTGAAAACGAAAAAATCATAGCAATAAGAAGAAACATAGGCATACATACACAGACGCACACATTCATCTACAAAAATCAGAATTTACCTGTATTGATGTCAGTAATTCAGCATTAGCACTAGGAGCGGGTACAGCTTTGGATTCTCTAGAAAACCGTTTTGGTTCATTCTGTTTACTGCTTGCACCTTTCCTTCTGCTCGTAAGCAAATTGGGATGTGTCAATGTTACTGAGATAATACAGAGATATAACTTGCGTAAAGGGTTCGTAGATCTGAACTTTACCTTCTTGCTTCCTCCTCTCGAAGTTTGACATCAAATTCTTTTCTTGGCGGATATCTTGGCAGACTTGATGGCTCGCTTGGAAAAGGTTTTGTTGTAAAAAACTGAAGAAAGGAATATCAAAATGTAAGTATAAGCCACAATGTTACTGATTTGCATTTCTCACTTAAAGCATAAAAAGTAGGCAGATAGTGAAAAAAGGTGTTAAAGCCCAAATCTAGTTGCAGGTCATGAGTTAACCTCGCTTTGAAGGGCGGAGGATGCGGTTCCTCGTGCATCTGGTTCTACAGCTAGAAGAACTTCAAGGAGGGCCAAAGCGGAAGGAGGAAGATCCTTAAATGTATCGGCTACACATCGCTTGTATGGATGTTGAGGTTTGAAGATTGTTGCATGTCGCAACCGTGATCTTCTCCAATACTCCTCAGAAGGTGAACCACAGAGTTTAAAGATCTTGTGCATCTGTTCTACCTATTCATATAAGAAACAAAAGGCTCTTGATATTCATTTTCATCATTGACATGTCTATATGCCTTCCTAATATACATTAAACTTTTTTGGCGTTATCAAAGCCAACCTGTCAAATGTTTAAAAAAAGGGAAACTTTTTGGAAAGGAAACTAAACCTCTGTTCTTCCGGGCAGAAGAGGCTTTCCAGTGAAAAGTTCAGCAAGTATGCATCCTGCGCTCCACAGATCAACCGTAACTCCATAGTCAGTCGACCCAAGCAGAAGTTCAGGTGGGCGGTACCACAATGTCACAACACGGCTGGTCAGAGGCTGCTTTCGTTGGCCCCGGTAAAAGTTAGAAAGACCAAAATCGCCAATTTTAAGATTATTGTTACGATCCAGAAGAAGATTTGAGCATTTGATGTCTCGGTGCAACACACCACAGCTATGGCAATGTTCTAACCCAAGCAGCAGTTGCTTCATATAACATTTAATCTAGCAAAAAGCAAATCAGATACGAAAACTGATTATAACCACACCAAAGTCATTAACAAGCACATAGCATACACACTTGCACTTTTCTGTTACCTGTGCCTGAGAGAACTTAATCCCAGGGGTTGATGCAAGACCTGCAAGATCATGGTCCATATATTCAAAGATAAGATACATACTACCTGAAGCTTTTGAAATGATCAGTCCTTCAAGCTTCATAACATTTGGATGGTTAAGTCTACGAAGGATGATTATCTCTCTCGCCATGAACCGCACACTCTCAGGATCCATATTAGCAAACCGAACCTTCTTAAGTGCAAATATTTGATTAGTTTCGAGATCACGGGCTCTGTACACACTGCTATACGTCCCTTGCCCAATCTGCAATCAACAAAACAACAGAACTTCAGCATCATCTAAGATTCAAAAGCAAAGACTCAAAATGTAATCAAAAAGCCACTCACCATCTCCAACTTCTCAAATGAATCAGCACTTCGAGGAATCCATCCATTGATAGCTTCACCAGCAACTGAAACCAACCATGAAGGCCAACCAGCAATAACTTTAGCTGCTCTATCTCCATTACTAACACTACCAATTCTACTCATCCTAGGCTGCAAAGGTCCTACATTATCAACTAACTCCAAAACGTTTGCTTTCTGCAACACTGATTCACAAGATTTCCTCTCAAAGCTAGTCTCTTTCTTCTCCTCCTCTTCCTCATCCTCATCCGAGAAAGTGTCCTTGGCCTCATCATTAGGTATCAACCTCAATGTAGCTTCGTTTCCATTAACACCTGCTTCCTCTGAATCAGACTGTTTCTTCAAAGCTTTAGAATTCTCTTTACCAATACTTACATGACTTGTCTCGATGTAATCATCATTAGTTCGTACTCCTTTTGAGCAAATACAACCCATAATTTGAATCTTCTTCTTCAACCCAGAAACTAATCCACCATCAACATTCAAAGATTCAAGCTTTTTCAAATCCACAATGCAAAGATTCGAACTTTATGTATCAGAAAAACAGTTTTTATAAGAAAGTGTCGAAATTTAAAGAACCCAGAAACCAATCCTGAAACCCAGATCGGCAAAGAAGGAAAAAGGTGAGATTTTTGTAGATCTAACGAGGAGTTTGAAATTTTCAGATCAACATTGTTGATTACGAAACTAGTCTGACTTGGTCAAGTAGAGAAGAAAGATCGTAGAATTTTTGTGAAAAGAGAGATTTGCGGATCTGAGTTGTTTGTTGGTTCATTAGTCCTAGAGTTGGGGAAATTGAAAATTGAAATTAGAGGTAAGTAGGTCGGTTGGTTTAGGGTTTACAAAAGGAAATTTTGTGAGAAAATGGAGAAAAGAAAAAGAAAAAAAAAAAAAATTGGTGAAGAAGGAACCAAATATATGTAAGATTCAAGAAGAAGCAAAAGAAAAAGTCAAAGTTCAGCCAAGGATTTGAGATGTGTATTTAATACAGTTTAATAAGATATTTTAACCGTCTTTACACCGCAGGACAAACACTTCATTTTAAATTTATAGGGACGTCGAGTTGTAACCCCATGGAAAGTTTTGTTTCTTGCTTCAGCCCCATCAAAGTTTAAAGTCGATATGTAGCTACACAAACGAAACTTTATTGATGTTTAACCCCCTCAAACTTATTTTTGGAGTTATAACTACTTTTCTGTTAATCATAAACGTTTGCCGTCTAATCTAGTACTAAACCAAATTGAAATCTTAGTTAACCAAAAGTCCAACCAAACACATAATTTAGATCCAACTCTAACCACATTACTATATTAACCCAACATTCTAATCCATAACGAAGCTTTATAAATTGAACGTGAAAAGGGTTTTGAGAAAGAAAACAAAAAAAAACTGCCGCTTCCTTAAACTGAAAAAAATTCAGAAGCACGAGGAAGGAGAAATCGATCCAGAGATTGCAATGAGGTATGATATTCGAACCTTATTTGTATTGATTTAAGACCCAAACTATATTTTTATTTCAATCATGAACCTTATTCTGAATTTTCTATTATTTTGGTTGATTTAAGTGACGAAGAACATGCCTCTTGGAGAGAGCAAATTCAGGAAGTGTTGGAAGATGAGAGTGATTCAAGTGACCCAGATTTTGAGAGCCTTGTTGAAGATGAAAGTGAATCTAGTGAAAGTGAATCCGATGCTGAAGGCGATGAAGAGTTGATGGAAAGGTTTGAGTTAGAAATTGAAGACTATGTGGCACAGTTTAGGGACGAGCTTCCGATGAGACACAATGAATATCCAGGTAGTGACAGCGATTCTGAAGATGTTGAAGTGGTTCCTGCAAATAGAAGACATCAAATTAGACGAAGAGGAGATGGGAATTTACATTATCAACAAGTATTTTATAGTGGTGTTGCGTTTAAAGAAGCGGTGTTGGACTATGCTCTGAAATCAGGCCGCAACATAAGACAATATAGGTGGGATCAAATGAGACTTGGATACAAATGTGCTATGGCTGGTTGTAATTGGAGAATATATTGCTCACTAAGTCGAAAAAGAAACAGGTGGGAGGTTACAGTTTATAAAAATCAGCATGCTTGCTCTCGAAATGGTGAATGTTTGATGTTGACTGATCCAGTGATTGCACGATTATTTTTGGACAAGATACGACAAGATCCAGAGTTAATGATGCCTATGAAGATTCAGGAGATGATTAAAGATCAGTGGAAGATCACTGCTACAAGGAATCAATGTCAAGAAGCTAGAAAAAAAGCACTACGGTGGATTAAGAAAGAACATGAAGATCAATTTGCACATATCAGAGGCTACTGCAAAGAGATCGTTACTTCAAACCCGGAATCTACTGTGGAAGTTGAAACTGTTTTGGGGCCAGATGGTATAGATCTATTCGATCGATTTTATGTGTGTTTCAATATCCTTAAAAGACAATGGAAAGCAACATGTCGTCCCATTATAGGAGTAGATGGTACTTTTCTTAGAGGTGTGATGAAAGGTCAACTATTAGTTGCTATTGGTCGAGATGCATGTAACAAAATTTATCCAATAGCTTGGGCTGTTGTACAAGTAGAGAATGAGAAGAATTGGTTGTGGTTTGTCAACTTGCTCAAGACTGATTTAGATCTTAAAAATGGCGATGGGTGTATCTTAGTCTCAGATCGGCAAAAGGTATGCTGTTTTAATTGGATTAGTGTAATGTGATGTCCATGTTTTGCTTCTTATATGTCAAAAGACTCACTATGTTTGTTTATTTCAGGGATTAATCAAGGCAGTTGCAAAAGAATTACCAAATATTGAGCATAGAAAATGTGTTCAACATATTTATGGTAACTTAAAAGCAGGACATGGAAAAAAGATGGAGATGAAACCATTGATTTGGAATTTGGCATGGAGCTATAATGAAGAGCAATTTGAAAAAAATCTGGAAAGGGTTAAAGACTATGATTTGGGTGTCTACGGTGATGTGATGAAATCAAACCCAAAGAGTTGGTGTCGTGCTTTCTACAAGAATGAAGGAAATTGTTGTGAGGACGTAGAAAACAACTCTTCTGAATCATATAACAATACCATTGTTAAAGCAAGAGAAAAACCAATGATGCCAATGTTGGAGACAATTAGAAGACTAACAATGGTGCGAAATTCTACAAGATATACCATTGCAAATGCTCACTCAAGTAAATTCACACCATATGTCCAGAAGTTTCTTGATGAAGAACATGAGGATGCTGCAAAGGCTTTTGTATTTTCCTGCACTACTTGGGTCTATGAGGTTGAAATTGATGGTCACTCAGAGAGGGTAGACATGAGAAGCAGGATATGCACTTGTTGTAAGTGGGATATTTGTGGGATCCCTTGTCAGCATGCTTATGGAGTTATACTGAAGAAAAAACTGAATTCAGATGATTACGTTTCTGACTGGTTTCTAACATCCCGCTGGAGAGAGTTATACGCTGACAACATGAAACCACTAAGAGGTTCAAGTCACTGGGCACGAGGTGATATCTCACTGGTGAGTGAACCTCCTGAACCGCCACAACCTGGAAGGAAGAAGAAGAGTAAGAAGCAAAAAAGAAAAAAAGGCATTAATGAGTCCCCATCCAAGAAGAAGAAGAAGAAGAAACAGACAAAGAAAAAAGAAGTTTCCATTTCTCCATCGAAGACGGTAACTAAGCGGACAATGCACTGCAAGAATTGTGGGCAAGCTGGTCACAATTCTCGTTCTTGTGCTAAAAGAGCCAAACGAGTAAGTTTCTGTTGATACTAATGTTTGGTTTCAATTATTGTTGGTAGTTATGCTAATGTGTTAATGCTTCTTGAATATTGTTTTAGGGTCATGATAAAGCTTCTTCCAGTCAATATACACAACCCGTTTCGCAAGTGGATGATGCGTAGAAGAAGAAAATGAATCTCTGCTGTTTTTTTCTGCATTTTTTTCTGATTTCTATTAGATGTTGTGGATGAGTGCAAGTTGAGGTTTTAAATTCGATTGTTGTAAGACATTTAATATTGCTCTTGAATCTTTCTTTTGAATTTCTCAAACACAAATTTAAACGTACAAACACAGAAGCTTCTTCCATTGAATTTTGGACAAGAAACTCCAATTCCATCCAAACAAAATAATGTTAGGTTAATGAAGAAATATGGTTAGAGTTGGATCTAAATTATGTGTTTGGTTGGACTTTTGGTTAACTAAGATTTCAATTTGGTTTAGTACTAGATTAGACGGCAAACGTTTATGATTAACAGAAAAGTAGTTATAACTCCAAAAATAAGTTTGAGGGGGTTAAACATCAATAAAGTTTCGTTTGTGTAGCTACATATCGACTTTAAACTTTGATGGGGCTGAAGCAAGAAACAAAACTTTCCATGGGGTTACAACTCGACGTCCCATTTTCTAAATTTTACATATTATGTTGGAGATTATTTAATAATTATTAAAACTATATAATATCAATTTTTACCAATTCATTTTGATTATAAATGTTTTATATTGTTGTTGTTACAAAGTAGTAAAATGAAGATTTTTACATATATTAAAGTATGAGATTAATGATATTTTTTTTTATTAATATCAATTCAAACTCGTCTTGTCTTACAACCTATCTCATCATATCATCCATTGAAAACATATTATTTTCATATAATCACTGACAAATTAAACTAAACCCATATTTAAAATTATAGCAAGGTCAATAATACTTCAGTTTAAACTCAAAGGTTTTTCTGTACAAAAATATTAATATAGATTAAATTTACTAGATTTTTTTTTTGTCAACAAATTTACTAGATTTTTAAAGCTAAATTAACCAATACTATATATCTCTTGGATTTTTATTTTATTTTTTTGGGGTTTAGGATAGTAATTTCGTTACTTCTTCTAGTGGGAGTGAACACATGCATGCCTTTTGTCACCCGAACACATGCATGCCTAAAATCGGATTAAGCGAATGCAGAAAATTCGCTTCTCTATCTCAATTATGTGGTATACTTATTCTAGAATTTCATTACTTATATCAAATAATATAATCAATTGGACCAAAATTATGTTATTTTCTTAAGTTAATTCATTCTTCATTACATTTGTCTACTCTAGAGGATATTAGACCATCTAGTGAATATCACATAGACTAGCTTATCTCAAATAATCATGATTTGGAGTTATGTGAATCACATTTCTTTTAATATATGATTCAAGTTCGGTTTAACTTGGTGTAGCTGTTATGTTCTGCATCAATTCTATATTTGCGGAAAAAGATAATTATACTTTATGTGTCTGTTATGTTCCACGATATTTAAGGCGTGACAATTGCAGAAAGTTCTAGAAGAGAAGGAGATGGCAGATGCGGCAAAACATATTTGGATTATGCCAACACATGAAGAAGCTTCAAGTCATTGGAATGAGACTTTTTGGGCACTTGGAGGATCCAAATTGTTAGAAGGTACAGTTTCATTTGTTCCATTCTTGATGGAGATTTTTACTTCCAAGAAACTTGATGTTTGCAGGTTATTCTGTCGGATAGAAAAAGCTTTTTGTCATCGGTTATAGCATCTCCAAGACTCCAACCCACCTCTATTTTTGCCTCTAAACTCTATTTTATAGTCATTTTTGCTCCAACGCACCTCTATTATAAAGGCAAAAATAGCAAAAACCATTGGAGATAGTCTTACCTTGAATATTTTGAGCAAACTTAAGTTATACCTCAATCTCCAAAGAAACGCACCTTCGAAAGATGGAGATATGTTTTAAGATCATTTATTGGATTGTGGATGTATTTGGTTGATTGGTAAAAACAGAGAATACATTGCTAAATAAAATCTTACAGCTACTAGCTGTATTAAGTATTAACAGAAAGGTAGATAGAGCTTTAGCAACACTAACGCGATAAAGCAAAAACGTTATTTATTGGCCATTGAAGGTGAGAAAGTAGAAAGTATGAAAACAGAGAAAGAAGCTGATTGTATTATTCATTGCTTCCTTTAGACTCTCATAACATCGAGGTAAGCTTTTCCATCAAGTGCACGGGAGAACAAGCCATTGAAATACTCCTCAGTGGTTACACTTTTGAAAATAGCAGCCTCGTGCCTTTCCACGAGACTTCTCATAGGACCAATAACTTTGCCCAATCCCATATTATGGAATGATGCCACAGAAAGCCTCTCTTTCTCTGAGTTCACAACTCCGCGATGCTCTATACTCCGGTATGTCCCATTCGTTATGATCTACATTGATTACCAATCATCAGAACCATTTTACTACAATGATATATCAAGAATAGGCTCTCTCGTCCTTAAAACTTACCTCTAAGATGTCTCCGATGTTGACAACGAAAGCATTTGGGAGAGGTTTGACAGAAACCCATTTGCCATTTTTCTTGATTTGGAGTCCATCAACTTCATTAACCTGCAACAGTATGGTGAGTCCTGTAGAGTCAGAATGCGGAGTTAGACCGATAACTTTATCTGGCTCTGGACAAGGAGGGTAGTAATTCAGCCTGAGTCTCTGCCCTAACTCATCATCAAACAACTCTTCCATTTCCTCGGATTTGATCTTCAGTGCTACAGCTACTTTCGCCAGTAGGATCTTAGCTATGCTTTTCACTTCAGCCGAATACGTGTCTAGTGTTTCTCTGAAGAAACAATAAGCAAACTTTACGCAGAGAATACTTGTGGAGTTTAAGTAAGAATGGTTTTACAGATTTGAGGCAAACCTAAAGGGAAGAGGTAAGTTGGGGAACAAGTGAGGCTTGCGTAATTGAACAGGTTGCATTGTAAGGAAGAACATATCTGACCAGTCGAGTTTCTGCTCTTCTGAAACCACAAATACTTGTCCAAATCCTTCGATGTCATCGGGCTGTTGCCACAACTTCTTCTTCTCTTCCATGGGAAAGTTGAAGAAATCCTGAATCTCCGACTTGAATTTTTCCAAGAAAGTTGAGTCCATTCCATGGTTTACAAGCTGTTAGATAAGCCAGTCATAAAGAAATGCCACAACGATCAATCTTATATAGGGGGTTCAAAATGGTAAAACACACAAAAAGAGGGATTGTTTTGTAAAGAATTGATTTTTTGCAGGGCAATTTTGTTATATAAAGAAACAATGTAGTTTGGTTGACCTTAAAAAAAAAAAAAAAAAATTTAAACAATGTACAGATTGAGACTTGCCTGGAAAAATCCCCATTCTTTGCAAGCAAAATCGAGCTTGTCAATCTCAGAATCCAAAGAAGACAAAAGACTCATGTCTATGATTGGTATCTCGTTTCTTAGACCAGTTTCACTGGAGATCTCAGCTTTGTCTTGATCAGACCGTACATACCTCGGAGGAACCGCAGTGATCATCTTCTCCTCCACCATTTCTTGAACAGAAGGAACTATGAGAGAGCTTCGGGCTGCTCCTTTGCCTTCCATGACCGTTGCTTCTTGAAAGATAAAAGAAACTTTAGATAACCTTCAATCTAATGAAGAAGACTATTGGTTTTATATAGAACATATGATATGAATTTGACCAAGTCTACGATGGCTGCAACTCGATATCTCAGTTTTAACATTAATTTACTGTGATTTCCCCATCAAACAAAAGATTAAAGGAAAAATATTTCTGAATTCATCTAGCAAGTGTGCTTTTTTTTTTTTGCCTCGACTCTGTCGACAAAAAACGACGCCGTTTTGGTATATATTTGGACAAGTGATGTCGTTTTAACAACTTACACTATGGACCACAGATTTGAACGATGCAAATGTTGTTTGTCTTCGGTAACTAATGAAAGTTCCACGGCGGTTGTGTTGGAAGTGATCAAGTCTTCATGTTATTTTATTATCTTAGGAGAGTCATATATTATATAGTTAAGTAACTGGTTTATGTATAATCTATTCGTATCACATACCGAAGAGACACGAGTAGAAATTGTTAACTATAAAACAGTTACGTGTGTGTTTGTGTCTTTACATTGGGGTGTTTTTTAGATATGTAAACCTATAAATACAGTTTATGTATCTAACAAAAGTGTGTGGTTTTCGTTTATATTCAAGAGTATACGTTGAGTGTCTAACAAGAAAGAGATAGTTATAAAACAGAGTAAAATCTGTGTTGTCCGATCCTTAATAATTTTGAGAGTTCAAAGTTCTACAAGTTGTGTGGTTCTAAAATCTGTGTTGTCCGATCCTTAATAACTTTGAGAGTTCAAAGTTTATGATCATTATCCAACTTGTAATCATCCAATTTGCGTCTAAAATAGTTGTTTAATAACCATAGTTCATCACTCTTTTCTTCCTTCTGCTTTCTTCCTTCACATTTTCGAAACAAAACCTTCGCAAAACACAAAACAAAGTACCAAGAAAACAAAAAAAATTCAAACAAGAACGTACCAATATATAAATCAGTCTATGTATACTTCTATAAATAAAATGAAAATGTTACCTCCAAAATGTATTCAGCCAACCGTTGATTGAACATTATACTTTCTTCCCCTTTTTTTTCCATCTCTTTAAGCACATCTTGTGCACCTCTAAGCTGCACACACATAATAAGATATTGCAAGTTCACTATATACTATACTAATACTGTTAATAAATAATCTAAAGACAACCACTTGAAGCTTTTACATACCAGATCAAACCCATAGTTCTTCTCAATGGTTCGAAAAAGGTTAACTGCATAGCCTGATGGTACTTCTAGACCCAATGCATACATGTGTAGCAATATGGATAGACCAACTTGCTCCTTTAATAACATACAAACAGAATGAAGAAACCAAAACTAAGTTTCACTATTCATTATAAGAAAAAACTAGGTACAAGAAAAACAAAACTACCTCTCGTGAATCGCAACTATATTTGATAAGCTTCTTGTATGATCCGAACGAATAAGGAATTTTCAGCTCTTTAAGCAACTCTTTCGAAATGAGAAATGCTCCACCAACCTTATAATTGCCAAGAAGATATTAGAGATGGGAAGTTTTGTTAGGAACTTGCTCTTAACCCTCGATACTTACCCGCAGGTTGGGAATGCTGGTGACATAGCTAACCACAAGCTCAGAAACATGATTGTCTCTAAAACAATAAGGACCTGCACATGAAAAATAGTTACATGCAATACTTACAAAGTTTACCAAGTGTACTAGACATTAAAAAACGAATTGGTTACACAGCTAAAATCGCTTCTTATAATTACCACTCTTGTACAATTCACGAAGGAGCTTCTTCGCGACAGGTTCTGATAGAAACCTTCCAAGGTGTTTGAAAATGCTTGTCCAAACGCCAAAAGAGTCGACTCTTGTTATGTCTAGACTCTCTAATATCCTCAAAACCTCCTTATGCTGGTCTTTATCACAAAGTGCAAGCAGATAATTTTCTATTGATGATGGACATTTTTTATCGCAAAGTTTCACTCGATGGATTCTCCAGCCGCGACGAAGGATAATAGTTGGCTTTAAAGGATTTTCTTCTTTGGTGATTTTGGCTTTGAAGCTTTTGATAATCATGGAACAAACTTCTTCGATCTTTTCTTCGTCTTTGAGCTTGATCCAAAGAAGCATTTTATAGTAACATAATCTCGCAAGCTTTTCTTGTTGTAACCATTCCGATTCACCATCACCCCTAATCGCTTCAACAAGCATATGGAACTCTTCTACCATTTTCTTACCAATTAAGAAGTTAAGAAGAGGACCATAGATTTCTTCATCTGCACTCATGAAGGATCCTTTCATAGCTCCCATTAGCTCGAAAGCCTTTGCGATGTGATCAGTGACATACTCTTCATCATTGCTCTTATTGGCATTTTCTATGTTAAGTAGAATCGCTGCTTCACATTCATCTCTTAGATGGAATCCTGATACATAGAGTCTACGTGATGCTGAGGATTTAGCCCCAGTATCCAGAGCAGATTGTAGTTTCGCATATGTTCTCGTTTTAGAATCATATTGAGGCGATATTAGTTGTGAAGATTCAATGAGAGTATCTACTAGAGCCATTCGAAATCACAGAAAAATATTGTGACAAAACACAAAGAGAATCAGTAATTATATTAGGGTAAGTTACTATAAACAAAATTAGGGTTAGCTAGGATCGGAGTACCTGGTTCAGAAATGGCTGATGTACTGAGAGCCCTGATGATCGATACTCCGGCGTTTCTTGCGGCTGTGTTGGAGGGTTTTCCGGTAGATCTGACGGCGAGGTGGACGAATGTGGTGAGGAAGCTTTTCGACATTTTTGAAATCCTTATAAAAACTTGATGTGCTGAAAAAAGTATTTTTTTTTTTAGGGTTTATGAATTACTTGCTTGCGTGGCAAGGCCCATTTATTCCGCTTTGAGTTTGGCCCATGTATAAACGAAAGGTTAAAATGTAAATGAATGGAGTTGACCAAAAAAGAAAAAGAAAAAAGCAAATTGATGAATGGACTAAATGTAATATTCAATTAAAATATTGTAAAATAAATTTAAAAAGTTTCTGACCTATATGATGATGCCAATTGCCTTTTTTATATTAAAAAAAAAAATTTAACTATAAAAACGTTACTTGAAGACTTGGGGTGAGCGTCAGAATTAGGTTCAGTATTTCGGATTTTTGGGTATTGGAAAATAGGAACTATTTGGATATACTATTTACGTTTCGGATCGGTTCGAATAAATACTTTTATAGTTTGGATATTTTTGGATATACATGGGGTTTGGTTTTTTTTTTTTTATCGAAGTCAAAAAAAAAAAAAAACTCAAGATCAATCCAAATTTATTTTAAAAAATGTAAATAATGTACCAAACTAAACATGCAAGGTGACTATAATCATTAATGAAGATAACCAAAGTTCTCAGACCAAACTGAATCCTAAAAAATAAGAAAAAAATTAAAACACCAAAACAACAAGTTCAAGAGATTTAGTATTACTATTGGTGAATCAAAAAGATACAAAAAAAAAAGAAAAAAAAAGTAGGGCTTTAGTGTTAAGATTAGGAATATATAAGTTTAATTTGGATGGTTCGGATACCTTTTCGGGTATTTGAGTATACCCAATCAAGTTCAGATACTCAATATATTAGAGAAAAAAATCCGATTGGATATTATATATGGATGATATGTACCCGATCTGAACTATCTATTTCGTTTAATTACAGGAGTTTGTAACTATTGTATGTTTTACCTAAATAATACTTTCGCTATATTATTTATCATGATGTAGAAAAATTATACTAAAAAAATAAAATTTAACTCCCACAAGTAAAACCAAAATGTTAAAAAATGTTCTAAGAAAATCTATCGGTCACTTGAAAATTGTGTACCATGAAACATATTAGAGCTTTCTCGTGTTCAAATCCGTACCATGTGTGTCCCATGTGATACAAGATATGAATCGTGGCATTGTTATGACATAAAACCACATGAATACCAAATTGAACTAAACCTTGATCTATATATACCATTACTCACCATCGGAACTTGTAATCAGAGAACATACCAAAGAACTTGTCTAGTTGAAACTTTGTCGACCCCATATCTTTGATCACATCTTCCGTAATGTCTAACTGCAAAAGACATAAATACTAAGAACACAAAACAACTAAACCGTACGAGTATGATATAGTGATATAGGCATTGACATAATTAAGGGGAAAAAAACACAACAACTTACCCAATCAATGTTATAGATTCTATCAATGGTGTCGTGGAAATAACGCCCGTACTCGGAGTCTTCTATCAAACCATTTTCCCTCATTTCATCTACTATCTTTGCTACCAGTGGTACCTAAAATATACAAAAGTGTTACCAATCAAACATCAAAGAGACACGATTGCGAAAAAGCTTATAAAAGTTGCTATCACAATCTGGTTTTATTTGAGTATTATATATACCTTACAATGATCATTTTCTGAGTAATAATGATCAACTTGTGAGGCACAATCAAATTCGATCAGCTTTTCAAAAACATCAAATGAAGGCTTAACCCCGACCTCTCTATGCAGCAACCGGCACATCTCAAATGCGTTAGCCTTCCCAGGTATATGCTGATTCAAATCAAACCAAGCCAAAGGAGCCACTAATTAGTTTCAGGGAAAATATAACAGAATCCTAAATCACATGAGAATTGAGAACTAGTAGATGAATTCAAGAAAACCTCACCTTGTCATATTCGATGCTAGTTGCGTAGCTAAAAACGAGGTTTGAAATATGCTCATCCCATGCTGCATGCATATAATAGATTTTGAAAATGTAATATATAGTTTAATAGATGTAACAAAGATTAGTGAATTCTCACAACTTACATGTTCCTTTCAGTACCCCAAGTAACCTCTTAGCATCAAACATCAAATCCAACCGACCAAGATATTCAAATATTGGTGTCAATTGGTCCAACGAAGAAGCTTTAGTTATGTCTACAGTCTCTAACAACGTCTTAAGAAACTCATATTGATATGTCACACAAAATGCCTCCAGATAATTCACTGAAAAGTCATCACAAGAATTATTATAAGCTTTAGATCTTCTTTAACTTTTTTAACAAGTTTACGTTACATTAATTCCGTACCTTCCAAGCTCGATAGCTTGTCCCATCTGTCGATGATTCTTCG